TTTGCTGCTTGCTTGTACTGCCCCCCCCCCCCCCCAAATAACTTGGCAATGAGTAAAAATAATGCAAGTTTCTCTGTCACTTTTAGTGTAAGTTAATTACTTACCAAGTTCTCATTTAAATTGAGCTGAACTAAAGGGGAAGAATGAACTGATTGTCTCAGGACTAGGAGTCAAAGTGGGTGAAAAAATAAGGGAAAGGGGGAACAGCAAAGAAAAAAAAACCACAAAAACCAAATAACAACAAAAGAAAAGAAAAAACAAAACAAAACAAAACAAAACATAAAACCAAAAACAAAACCAGAAACGGGAGAGTGGGCTGAAACAGGCAATGAAGCCCACCAGGGACATGTGCACCAATCACTGAAGGGATGGAGGGAGGTAAGATGGATGAGAAAAAAAAATAACCAAGAAGAAATAAATGAGTAACCACTTAGCAGAAATACATCAGAAATACATACTACTGACAAATCCTTCAAAAGATTATTAGAGAAGACAGCTTTCCATCCATGTCATGCTTCCTCCTTCAATGGCTGGTCTCATAAACACTGAAGAAAGCAAACAGATGTTTCCTAAAGGAACTATTGCAAAGCTAGTAACAGGATTAGTAACAGGAAGTTCTTAGCTGCAACTTCTTAGTACAGGTATTATCTCAGTCTCTCAAAATCTGTGTGCTTACAAAACAAAAAATAAACACAATGAAGAACCTTCAGGTGCAGAAGAATCAGGAATTAGTATTGAATTTAGAAAGCATATTTACTAAAACAGAAAGACGCATGGAGTTTGCACAGTAGGTAGACAGTGAACTGAATGGTTTCAAGTGAGGCAGTCTCAGCTAACATTGCAAGCTACCTACCTGAATGAAGCCTGCCATGACCTACCTAAATGAAGCCTGCCATGACCTACCTAAATGAAGCCTACAGTGCTGAGAACAAAATCCTATAAATACTGGCAGTACTCACTGAGTCCAGCAACATGAAGGTTTCAAGCAAAATGTCTGCTCAGGAATATGAAGTTGTGAACATAAAAGTTCAATAAAATCGATTAGAGAAACAGTGTCAGGTAGTCTCTTAACACTAAAGCAACACTTATTTCTTGATAAGATGAATTGAGGGAAGCTTACATGACTTAGTAATTACTAGCAGTAGTATGTCCAAGCACTGTAGACAAACCTTTCATAACTAAAGCTGCACACAAATTAAATAGAATTAAAAAAAGGGGGGGGGGGGAATGAGCTCGTAAGAATTAAACATACAAAGTTTTATCTGATGCAAAATACAAAGTTTCTTTCCAATTACTCTAAAGGCAAAGACAAATCCTGGGCTGGGAGGGGGGAAAGCCTTTTGCAAATTACTTAATTCTGAATGGAAGGTCTCACCTTGCAGTTTTCCATAAGCAACAAGAGAGCCACTAAAAGTCACTCCACCAATGTACGTGCCAAGGTATGCCACAATCCTGGTGAGGTCTGCAGCTGGATCAGTAGCAAAGTGAGGATATTCAATCATGTATTCTGCAATACAGGTGAGCACCGCAGCCAAACCAACCAAACTATGGAAAGCAGCCACTAGCTGAGGCAGATCTGTAATCTGGATGCGTTTAGCAATCGTCAAACCTGTTACAAGTTGAAAACAGAAGGAAGTCTTACAAAATAAAACCAATCTGTGCAGATGGAACTTAATGTACCATGGTGCAGCATGCAATGAATAAATGCACATACATGCCTGTTCCAACTGAAGAATTTATTCTACACTGGGAATTGCTACGGCTTTTAAGTGAAAGCTGCATATGTGTATTTTATGCAATGAGGATATAATGCAAATTAAAAGTATTAAAGCTTATCATGTTCTTAGAAGCTTCATTAAATATCGAGAAATTCAACATTTTCTGTGGCAAAAGATCAGTGTGAAAAAGCGAATTTGGCAGCACTCAGTCGGGAATTGAACAGAAGTATGAAGTTGAGCAAGTTCATTCACCTCTGTGTAGGCAGTTTCCCTAACAGAGATGATGTGCTCCTGCTTTTCCACTACTCTCCCTATTCTCTGCCTTATCCTGATGCATTAATAAAAGCTGTGGGACTTTCTGTTCAAGTATTTGCAACTTAACATAAATTTTAGCCATAAATTTTAGCCAATTCACCTATGAGCTATACAGTATTTTGTGTATACACAACCTGCATGAATCTATGCATAGAGCACATGTTGTTAGTTTATAGTCTCATACACATACCTATGGTACCACCAAGTGCCAGTGCACCCGACATCTGCGCCAACAATTCAGGTGAGGGTTTAAGGCATCCAAGAGTTGCTGCTAAGCCTCCTGCAACACCAATCATACCCAAAGCATTTCCAAGACGAGCTGTTCCTTGGGTGGACAGACCAGCCAGGGCACCAACACAGCATAAGCCTGAGCCTAAATACATCATCTTTAAAATAAGAAAAACATCAGTATGTATATACGAATTAAGAGACAAACTGCATTATCATTATAATAATCTCTGAGTATTACACAAAACGGCTGATTTCTCCAGAATGTATGCAAGTTACAGTTCCTAACTGAAGTCAAAACTCTTCTGACTGTGAGAAACTGTTGCACAGGATGTGATTTTGGCCAATCTTGGTTTATCTTCGAATACTAAACTTGAGTCAAGTCCTTCCTCATCAGTTCAGAAGGAAATTTTTCTTTAGTACAAACCCTAAACTAAACAGTGCTGTTCATTACAGCAATAGTTTCAGAATTTGCTCATGGAACATCTGAACTCCTATTTTGTATGTATGAACAAACTTAAATGAACTGAGCAGTACATGTCTAGATAACTGGAAAAAAAAAATCAACTATATTACAAGCCCCTGGCACAAAGGTATGTTTGGATTTGCTTTTTTCAAACACAGAAGGCAATACTGATTGTTTTTTCTTACTATTAAAACAAATTTAACAAAATTTGTCATAAAAGGTGCTCTAGGTACAATCCCTATAAATCCCTTTGTGCTGAAATCTCTTCCCATCCAGATGTCATACCTACTTCAATTGTCACGCCAAGTTGAATTTTCAGAAACATTTAAACCAAAGACTGGTTTCTGTAGTTGCTATAATACTTAAGCTGTCTTTTTGGAAAACTGTCTAATAAATAACAAAGTACTTGCTGCTTTGCAGGGAAAGGAAAAGCTTTTAAAATTTTCAGATTCAGCGTTTGGGGTATGATTGCAAACTTCATGTTAATCAACTTCAGACCTGCCTTGTGGGAATACATAGCTGATGAAAAGACCACAGCTAATTTGCAGTTTATCCCTCAGAGTAAACAGTGAAGAAGGATATCATGCTGTGAACAGTGGGGTATGAGCCACAAAGTTATTTTCTTACCTGTTCAATATGATAGCCACCGTTAAGAGCAGCCACATAGCCTCCTACAAATACACCACCAGGAAGTAGGTACAAGTAGTTGTACTCAGGAGGATCTGTGGGACGTTTGAACATATCCAGCATTCTCTGTGTAACTAGAAACCCACCTGGCCAAAGCAAAGGAGCAATTTTACAAAAATGAGATATGAAACTAAACATACGCCAAGCTGTAAGAGAAATATTTGGTTAAACCATATTACCACACAAAGTTAACAACTGACACCAATAAAGCCTCTGAAAAGCTATTAATCTGGAAAACCAGCTTAGTTTATGACTGTGTTGTTTTCCCGATTTACTCTAGAAAAAAGCGGTATTTGTAGTCGAATTGCTCACTTTCTTGTCTTTTTTATTTGTGAAGCTTGGGCTTCTGCACCTCAAGCAAGCAGAATTTTGTTCTATGACACATTTTTCAGGTAGAAAAAAGAAATACAAGGACAAACGTATATCCTCTATATCTTGGGACATACAGGGAAAGATATTTCATATAATCATCATCAAAAGGATACTGTAAAAGAAAAAAGCACATTTAAATGTTTCCCTAAAGAAGGTTTACGCAACAGTGTGTGCAAACCAGACTGAGTAACTTCTACCAAATTTCCAGAATTCTACTTCTGGAATCTATATAATTAAAGACCTAGAAGAAATAGAAGAATTAGACAAGTGTTTTAAAGTTACTCTCAGGAGAAAGCCTTTCATACCTGCAATATTGACTGAAGAGATAAAGGCTGAAAGCACTGCAAGGCTTTGAGGAGCATTTTCAGGGAGATAGTGTCCTCCCATCAATGCCAGCCCACCAACTGCAGTTAGTCCTATTTAAAAGAGAAAAGTGTTACTGAACCTAAACAGGCTCTATACCTATAGCAAGTCTTCTTTCAGCTGTCAAACAGATACCAGTCAACTCAAATTTTGAACCCTACTGTACACACTACTATTTAACAAAGACTTTTCAGTCCTAGTCAGACTAAACAGTCCTTTTCAGCAATACAAACATGTTTAAAAACAAAAAACCAAAGTAGTATATGAATACAGTTTTGAAGTACAGCACCTCAAGCACAGAGTCAGCCTCCAACTGCTTGTTCAATAAAAGAAACTTTGCTTTTAACAGTCAAAGTGAGCCAGACTTGTGACCTGTCATCCATATATACAAATGCAGTGTGTAAAATCTGATATTTACAGAGTTATGAGCCTTACAGGTCACTTAGGAACTTCTTCCTCTCTCTCAAAACACGTAGTTTGAGGAGAGGAAAAAAGAATGCAGAAAATATGAAAGACGAGTTACTTTCGCGGCAACATTTTGGAGAGTTGGGAGGAAAGATAAGTTTTATCGAAGGATAGACTGCAGCACTCCAAATAAAACAAATTTTAAAGCAAGTAAGTTAACAGTGAAAAATTACTTATAAAAATTAAAAACACAGTACCTCATTTGCCCTTCTTTTGAAAAATTGTATTCTCATAAAGTTTATTTCAGGTGTCCTTGCCATATATTTATCAGTGGACTTCTGACTGAAGTTCAAATAAAAGGAGCTGTGCCTACAGAAAACAAGCAGTTGTGCGACAGCTACTCACCTGAGATAGCATTAGTCACTGACATGAGTGGAGAGTGAAGAGCGGGAGTCACACCCCACACTGTATGGTACCCCACTATTCCAGCTAGGCCAAATGTTGTCACCATTTGTGTGAAAGCAGAAGTAGGTGCTACAATGCCCAGCCCTAACATGCTAGCCAAACCTAGAAGAAAAGAAGAGCAAAGCATTTTTGTAACTTTTCAATGGTTTCTTATAGTCAACCTCTGCACAACAGGAGTCCCCAGTATTGAGCTAAAAGCAAAAAGGAGTCTTGTGCGTAGACTTCTTTCAAGATCAGCTGTGTCTTCTGTGCTAGTGTTTCTTTTACAATAGAAAATAAAACCATAAATATAATACACATATCTTTGTTATGCATGCACACAAAGCAGCAAAGATAGGTTTCTATAGCAACACTGAATCCTGTCACTCTCCTGTTCTAGAGCAAAAATGTAGAAGAGTGACAATTGTGTTGAAATACTATTAGGAAGACTCAAACCACGCATATGAAGAACAGATGTTAAAATAAAGAATATGCAATTCAATAATTACCTCATGCAGAATTTCTGATACACACAGAATACCAAATGCCAAGAGCAAACAATATTTATGACAATATATATTATTATGACAATATATATGACAAATGTCATATTCTCAGTATTTCAGTTGATTGTGGGCAAATTAACCCATACAATACATCAAAATTTGAAGAAAGCAATGGCATTGAATTGGTTCTGCTGCAAAGTATGGGCACAGTCCTAGCATGAATCCTTCAGGATTTTAAGTATTTTACTGATATTTAAATAAAGCCAAACACACAGATGCACACAGCATGAGTCACCAGTTTGAAATGTTGGTACTTTTGGTTAAATTTATAAAATTTTATTTTCCCTCCCAAAAGCAGTTATTTTAATGCACTGATTTTGCACTAGAGTAGAACAGCCAATCACCTGCCTTCCCAAATAGTTATTAAATTGAGTAAGTAAGATGAGGAGTCTAAAAAGTATTTGCCAAATGAGGAGCACTATACACTGATTCTCCAGCTCTGCAAGTTGCCTACCTGCTGTGTATACAGATGCAGTAGTCATAGTTTTTCTAAAAGGTGTAATAGTAGCTGCTTTTTCCGCTTCCAGCTCTGCTACAGTCTTCTGCTTCACAGGGCCTCCTTGAGGAATATTATTTGGTGGAGGTGCTGGGAAGATCACCTTGCCATCCTGACAAGAGATATTTACAGTTATCACTAACATGGCAGATGCTTTATAGTTAGAGGAACCTCCTTTTCTTAATCCTGCAACTCTATTAAAGTCTTAACATCCTACAGGCAAGCCACAGGAATATCTTCTTTTTCTGCATTTGTGAAATTTTGCAATGTTAGATGATCAGTACAGCCTGACCAAGTTAACCTTAATGATTTACATATTTTTCAGACATGATTTAATATCAATGTCCAAGAGCACCTGGTGGAAACACAAGTCTTGAAAGTAGAAACCAAACAAAGTGGTCAAGTTCCTTAAATGGAAAACATTTATGCAAAATAAAACATGGTCTTGGAAATAGCAAAATCTGCTACAGATCTGAACTGTAATCAGAGCCTGTCAAGACCTCAGCTAGGAACTAAGTATGTCAACTCACATTTCTTGCTGTTCTCCAGACCTCTGGAAGAAAAACCTCCAGGCCTGAGCTGCACACACCACTTCAGTGGCCTGGGAGAGCTGAAGTCCATGCAAGCGTCCTCCACAGTAGGTATCATAAGCATTACAAAATGCTGGAAACACTATGCAGCAAAACTCAACAGAAACAAATACCTCTTACCTAAACTGAAAGCTATTATTTCCTAATAGTTTGAGGAGGAGAGCCTATACTGGCCTATGATCAAAGTCTGTATTTTAGTATTTCCCAATTGAGTTTAAAGTATCCTGAACATTCTAGTTCTCCATTTCTTTCTGAAGTTACTCTTATGAGAACAGAAACATGCATTTATTAAAAACAACAAAAACAGGAATAATATTTTTCTGGCCTTGTAGTAATGTTTCAAACATGTTTTAAATAACTATGCTTTTGTCACATGAATACAGCATGCAAATTGAATCTTTTTCCTATTTTTCAATAGTAGACATTAGGTATTTGTTTAACTATGACAAAGAGATAGAAGCAAAGAGTTTTCCCTTCACAAAATGGGACAGAGGAATATTCAGCTGAATACAAACATGATGCCCACACTATCCATGAAGCCATATCTGAAGTCCATCAGCATGCAGTATCTTTGAATGTATTTTAAAGAGGCAACACTGATAAATGTATGCACTCGCAAATTAAGAAAAGAATATTTACTGACTTACCTTCATTACTACAGTTCCTCTAATAACATGATCCAGAGTACCATAATCAAATTCATCTTTTGGATCGAAGTAGAAGTTCTCTTTGTCAGGACTAATAGCCTTTAGGAGTTTGATGACATTATTGGAATAAAGAGTACTGGCCTGAGTAGCCATCCTGCTAGGCAAGTCTGTATAGCCAATGTGTGTAACACCCTGAAAAAAATTTAAGTAAAATACTAAGGATTAGTACAATCTCTGAGGAATGACAGAATCACAGAATGATTTGGATTAGAAAGAAACCTTAAAGATCATCTAGTTCCAACCCCACTGCCACAGACAGGGACACCTTCCACGAGACCAGGTTGCTCAAAGCCCTGTCCAGCCTGGCCTTGAACACCACCAGGGATGGGGCAGCCACAGCTTCTCTGGGCAACCTGTGCCAGTGTCTCACCACCCTCAGAGTGAAGAATTTCTTCCTAACGTCTAATCTAGATCTACTCTCTTGCAGCTGAAAGCCATTCCCCCCTTGTCCTATTGCTACATGCTCTTGTAAAAAATCCCTCTCTTCTTCCTATATATCCTCCTAGAAATATATATCCAACCTGTTTCACTTATATCTGATTTTAACCCCAGCTAAAACTGTTACCTGCAGCTTTAACATTATTAAGTTGTGGGATTACTCACAACAATTACAGAATTCAACATGATCAAACCCAACATCTTAAATGCTATTAACAGCAAGCCTACACAAACAGGAAGATGTACTGGTGCAAGAGCTTGTCCTCTCCAAATCCTACCATTCTCTCAGATTAACTTCTTAAAGCAATCAGGTAACGGATTATTCTGCCCAATGCTTGGCATCTTCTCAGTCCTTCTTGAGGGCATGCACTGAAGGCAACTTTCTATATGACAGAAGAGTGAAGGAAACTTCCTTAGAGCTAGCTAGCTGCGCAAGTAATATGCCTAATGGGTTCACATATATGTAAAGAGAGATAACATAATACATCCCTACTGTTTAAAGAACAAATACGAGTATACCTTGTTATTAGGGTTTTGGAATGTACGGGAAGCTGAGGCTGGCATACACATACAAGCAGGCTTGAGTTAAAACACTGCTCCCACAACTGATTGCCAAGATCCATGCATACTTCCAGGAACTCTGGGTTCACAATACAATGCTATTGCACACTGATAATACCTCTGCACTGCTGCTTTTTTTCCACAGGTCAGTGCCAGTACACTATATCCAGGGGTAATACTCCTGACTAAAAGTGTTCCATATAAATTCTTCATCAAGTATCTGATTACTTCTGTTCTACATACTCTAATTTTTTAAGCAATGACATCAAAAGCCCTAGAAAACCAAAAAGCCAAATACAGTGCATGACTCATACACACGCAGCCCTGCTAATATTAATAACCATGGCAACAGGATGTCCTACAAGCTTCCCTAATAACAGCATTATGCTCTTATATCACCAAATAAACAACCTTGGAAACCTGCTACTTAAAATCTCATGCCCCAGATTTCTGTAACTGCTAGTAGATTCCTCACAAGTACCAAAAATAAAACCCAAAAAGCAGAAAAACAAGCTTTCTACTGAGCCAGTGAACACTGGAGCAAAAACCAAAGTAGTAAGTTCAGTCCAGGGGAAAACTGCTTATTTTAATGAATCAACAGTGATAATGAACCCTAGTTTGACTTACAAGTGGTTGGGATACATAAGGATTACCTAAGCCCAAATACTGAAATCAGCTACTCATTTTCAGCATACAGTTTACAAAACACAATGTGAATTCACACAAACTGAGAATAATCTTCAGATTAAAATGCTCACCTTATGAACATACATTTCTCCAGGCTTTGTAGTCTCAATGTTTCCCCCTGCTTCTGCTGCTAAATCCACAACAACTGAACCTTCCTTCATTGATTCAATCATATGTTTCTTAAACAAGATGGGAGCTTTTTTGCCTGACAAGACAAGGCATCTTAAGTTAAACACAAATACAGCATTTTATCTGTACAGCTCAGGAGATGCGTTCTCCCCTTTTCTCTATATATATAAACCTTATTTTTGTAAGCAAAATTTTCAAGTAATCAGTATCTAGGATGAAATGTCATAGAAGGCTTTTTTGTACAGGCAGAAAGAAGAGATGCTAGAACATCTTGCTCCTAGCATGTAAAATTTTGTCCTCGGTACCTGACAACATCCAATCCTACAATTCAAGTCGTAACACAAAAACAACAAAAGACACCACATCAAAATACAGATGTTGTGCAATACAAACAGTAACCTCTATCTTACTATGTTTCAATTACAAAAGACAGTACTGTTTTGTTTGGAATTGTTTCTGTGCACAAGCTGCACAGCAGCAGTAGCAGAGATCCAATACGCAAACAAATTACATATTCTTACATTATTACCATGTACTCCTTGTTTAATCGGAGAACATGATACTGAGTCAAAGACTGCTAGTTTGTGAAAACAGAAGTTGCAAAAAAAGGCACATGCTTTAAAAATAGGCATTAACAGGGAAGTTAAAAGGTACATGGTAGCACTGACATAATTCACTAACACCTCTGTTTTCACTGCAGGCACAGTTCCAAAACATGCTAGCTTCCAAAAGATAAATAAAAATCAGCATCTTGCACATAAAACATACCTGGAATAAGCGCTGTAGTGATGATGATATCAACATCTTGGCACTGTTTGGCAAAGAGTTTCATTTCAGCTTCAATAAATTCTTTGGACATTTCTTTAGCGTAACCACCTTGTCCCTCTCCAGATTCCTTTAAGTCTACCTCCAAAGGCTCAGCCCCAAGAGACTTGAACTGTTCCAGAGCTGCAGCTCTAAGAAAGTAAAATTGCAGGGAAGGAAACAACTGCTGCCATGAAAATCCACCATGACTTTTCTGGTCTTTTTAGTAGCAGTCTTCACACAAGAGATCTAAAACTTATACTAGGATTAAGGAGACCATAAATTAAGTACTCTACTTTCTGTATTAAGTGAAAAAAGTAATTGCACCACTAACTTCAGGTCCCTAACAATAATAACTGGGTAAGGGATAAAGGCAGATAAGGTTTCCTGTACACTCAGCAGCATTGCTCCAATAAAAGTCTCAAAGCTGGGAGCTTAACTGTTGTCTAACTCTGCTCACCCATTTCTCTTGTCATGACTAGGTAAACCTACAGCCCAAACTTAGATGCCAGGGATAGGTGATAAATACGCAGCCTGTGGCCCTGTCTTTAATCTGTGAAATGGGAAATACTAGTAAGTCTTATTTTCACAAGGAAAATTGGGAGGGTTGGGGGGTTAAGGGGTTATGGGTTTGAGGGTTTATTTTGGTTGGGGGGGGTTCGTTTTTTTACAGTTATCCTGTAAATCTGATATTTATTTTTCGTCACATGTTATCACAGTAAATAATCAGTCTTAATTTCAGTGTTAGATGAATATTCACAACACATATAAGATTTAACACAAAATTCTTGCACACCAACATAAAAGCATAAAGGATGCTTAAGAAGGGAATTAAAAAAAAAAAACCTGAAAAGTTTTAGACAGGTTTTGATCATACTTTTAGGAAAAATAAACTCTTTCTAGTTTGTTTTAAGGCATATGCAGATTTTCTAACAAACCAGAGTGAAGGTTTTTTCATATTGCACATCATAAATCTGGAAATATATTCATTTTTATTCTTTCATATTAAATATAGTTAAGTAGCACTAAAAGCCACTTCTGCATAAAATCAAACATATATAAGTAATTTTAATGCAAATACAGTATTAAGCACATAAAAATTCAATATAGGAAGGCCATTTAACAGAAAATAATCTAGTTTGTAGTCCCTGGAGCTATAAGACAAACGTTTGTGCTCTGTAATTTTCCGACTCTATTGCTCTAGAAAATGGCTATAGGACAAAACAATGCTTCCAAATGTAAAAAAAAGAGACCCAAGCAAAGCAGAATTTGAAACAGCTTCAGATGCATTTTCTGTTCTTTCATCCTGAGATTTATAAATAAAATAACTTGATCTCTTGCTTCTTTCGACCTGCTGAAGGAGAGAGTCTCTCCAAAGACTCCCTAGCTGGCTCTTCTGGGATCAGGAAAGTAGAAGTGAATGAGAGTATGCAGCTATGAACCTGGATCAAAGCAAGCTATAGATAACGGCATACAGATTATTTATTTACTATTTCTTTTGTGCCCCAAGAAGAAGAGAGACATGAAATTATGGATAAAAGCCCTAACTTCCTCATTCTCATGAAGTAATGAGGTTTTTATTCATGTATTTCTGAATGATGCAATGATAAGGACTTCTTGGAAGATTTGGTATTTTTGAGGTATGGAGGAATAAAGACAGAATAAAAATAGCAGGAAAGGAACTGTGATTCAGTGCAGTACAAGTGCTTTCACTGTAATACTGACTCAAACTACTTAATCTTAAAATAACGTCAGATTGCTATTAACATTTTCATACACCTACCTCGTATCAAATCCACGAACCACTGCACCCATTGATTTAGCTGCTCCTGCAGAAGCCAGGCCGGCAACTCCTCCTCCGATGATCAAGACCTAGAATGATACAGTTATCATGTTTGTAACATAAACTAAAACTAGAGCTGGTTAGAAAAGCAGCAGCATTGTCCTGCTTTCACAACTGCAAATACGTCTCATTAACCAGCCATTTAAACAAGCTACCTTATGACACAGAACACAAAATTACTTTGGTAAAGCTGCCCATAATCTGTTTAAAAGCTGTAATTCCTAACTTCACTTATCTGAAAGCCAACTCATCTGTAGCTAACAGTTTATGTAAGCACAAGTTTTCTCCTTAGCTTCCCCCCCCACCCCTTCCCTAATTCTACTTTTATTTCTCTTCAACCCAATCCACCAGCAATTCCAATCCAACAATCTCTTCAATCACAGTCTTCAATGCACCAGAAATCCCAACATTTCTGACTTTTCTGAACTGCTTCCTTGCCTTTCCTCATCTGGGGAGAGGAGGAAATCCATCCATGTATAGATAGTCTGATGTTTAAAACTAAGCAAACTTAAATAAAACTCAAATTATTCTATTATTCCCAAAAAACCCAACCCTGCAGGTAGTGAACAAAAACTGCTATGGGAATAACTACAGGAATTTCTGAAGTCTCTAGAACTAGCCCTAAATCAGGAAAAAAGCCTTTTAAGACAGTTTCAGCAATGGCTAGCTGCGCTCAGGAACTCACATATTCTTCTGCCACAGTATCTGTTTTAATTGCACATACCTTTGCTGGAGGAACTTTACCAGCAGCTGTGATCTGACCCGTGAAAAATCGACCAAAGTGATTTGCTGCCAGTACCACAGCCTTGTAACTGTCAATTAAGGATGAACACGTATCAGTATTTTCCTAGGGTCAGTAAAATTCCATTCATGACAGCAATCAAAAGGATAAACATTTGACCATAGCTTGCACAGGATAAAGCAAGTTTAATATTTTACTGTTGAGCACAAGCTTAATAGTCTGTCTTTGTTTGTATTTCTTGACTTTTTCTGCGGGTGGGGAAGGAAACGCATTTTCAGACAGAATTTTTAGAATGCAATATACTGGATGTCCACAACTACTCACTCTCCCAAATAAAACTTTACCTGAACAATATACACATATCTTGCTAACAGTTAACTCTGTGGTCTTGGAAGCTATCTTTAAAGGCTGTAACCTGTAGCTTGCTAGGAAGGAAACACGAACAAGCAATTGCAAAACCCAGAGCAATTATGCAGTAAGCTCACTTAGACAAACAAGCACACATTTAAACAAGATACTCTGACCCTAACTGAGCAGACCTATATAGTTCAGGACAAACAGCTTAAGCTCGCTACTTCTTTTGCTCCATCTGCTCTGTAGCCATTCAAGAATGGGTGGCTGGATGCCAAGTTAACATCAATAAAGCTATCCAAAAACGCAGATCAATGTGTAATTGTGTCTTTTATTAACAACAGTGCACGTTTTCTTGCATATTTACTAACAGTGTTGTGTTCAACAGCCCCATTCCACTCTTTTTCCTATCTCTAGCAGGAATATATGGAGGTCTGTATGACAAAAAATTACTTCCAATTTGGAATACAGCTTGTACATTTTATACCTTTAAAAACATTATGGATTTCTATATTTTAGTAAAATTAAACATACTGAAATACAGAGAAGTAACCAGACATGTACTCAGACGTATAATGCTGGTGTCCACAAAATCTGGTAGCCTTCTCCACGGTTTATTATGCCTCACAGACACCGTCTAAGTAGAAAGTCAAAAAAAATAATAAAAAAAGCAATAAAGAATCTAATAATAGAAGTCAGCTTGATGACAACAACATTTTAATGCACTGGAATACCTACAATACCAGTCACAAAGCATGAAGATGCCTGAGAGTATTTGGTCTTTTGTTTATGTCTGCCATGGCAATTGCATTCATACCGCATGCTGCTTGGGTCAGTGAAGTCCCAACAACACCAGATCCCAATGACAGACAACCTGTGTTCAATCTTTCTTAAAGACAACTTTGAGCCTGCTCAGATCCAGTTCAGATTTAAAAAAAAAACAAAAAAAAAAAAAAAACAAAAAAAAAAAAAAAAAAAAAAAAAAAAAAAAAAAAACCAAACCACTAGAGAAAGCAATCATGGAATTAAAAGAACTGCCATCAATTTTGGTTGCCTGTTTAATTTTTCCGTAGGCCTTGTTCTGACCTACTGCAAAGCTGACCACAATAAACTCAAGTTGGTTGGCACCTCCAACAGTGTCATCCTGTGTGAAACAACTGTATGAAAATAGAGCTGCAGAATTGTTTTGTATATACCCAATACCAAAGCACGTAACTTTTAATCCAGCTATACTTACTCAAGCTGAAAGAAAAAAAAAAAATAAAAAGTAAGATTCATACCCAGCAATGTTGGCCATGGAGCTAAGAGCATCATATCCCTGAGCAATGGTGATCCGTGGAACCTGATCCATAGCCAAGACAGTAGTTTTTTTCTCTGCAAGTTTTTTCAGGAGGTCTGGATTTTGTGCTGGGTAGATAAAACTAATCAGAGTAGCCGCCACTTTAAAAAGATCTGCCTCGTGCACACCTAGAGCTGAGTTATATATAGGAGCCCTCACCTGAAGAAAGAGAGAAGTTTCCAAATTAATCAGAAGAAATAAATCAGAACACACTCAACTTTCTTCCTCCTCACTTGCAGTATGTCCATTCCCATCCACAAAGTACACAGAGATGGAAGTATAGCAAAGGCTGTTCACACCACTGAACTGAGTAATTGCACTTCTTATCTGCAATCCACCTATTAGAATTAGCTCTGGGCAGACTGGTGACAGGGCAGTAATAGCCATCACACCTTCAGAAAGATCTGATGGCTTCTAACCAGCAGTTACTGGCTTTTATGACAGATACCTGCCCCAAACACACCATTTTTAAGCCAAATGATTACCAAGTAGATGTGCCATTAAACTCTACAGGCTAAGAATCACTTATTAGGTTGCAATGCAGCACTGCATACGGGGAATTTCAAGCATGAAGTCCAGGAGACACTCATCTTCATCTGTATTCACTTCTTTTGAGTTTCTCACTTTTTTTCAAAAAGAAACCTACTTAAAAGGCTTGTTCACAAAGTAGCCCATAGGAATTCTATGTTCAAACCTGACAGAATAACTTTAAATAGAGCAGTTAAAAGAAGCATCAGCATCAAGTTTAAGGTTTTTTTCCTTTTTCCTTCAGGCCTTTACACAATCTAATACCTCTCAAGCAATTTCACTTCTAGCAGCCCTTCCAGATCAACTACAACCTATCTAGTTACAAACACTCCTGAAACACTCAGTTGTGGAAACTGCTGGATGCCCAAATGAGAGAAGTTAGAAACTAGCATCTTCAGAATTCCAAACAACTCTCTCTAGAGAGTAACTCCAGTTGTTCGTTACTAGTTTTGGAGCAAAAGTTCCTTACAGCAGGGATCTCCCCTGATTAGTCTAGAACAAGTAGCCTACCTCGCTCTAGAAAACACCTCCAAGATAGTTAAAAACTTGGTAAGTAACTATCCTCCTTTTTTTCAATGCTACCATTTACTAGCTTATTACTGCAGGCGTACACCTGAGTTAGTAAAGAAAAATAATAAAATAAAATAGAAGAAAATTGAATCAGAACTTAGAATGGAAAACACTAACCGACTTACCAAACTTTCAGCACACTATCAGAAAAAAAATTACCTCTATGTTTCTCCAAAAATAACGTAATAGGAAATATATTAATAAAGCAATTACTTTGACAACCAAATCAGAAGCCAGGACTTCCTTGGTGCCCTGGATCTTTGCTCCAACTTCTCTGTAATGGTCATCAGAAAATTTGGAAGCTTCTCCAGCACCAGATTCCACCACAACATTGAAGCCTTGTTTGACTAAGGCTTGAACTCCAGCCGGTGATAGAGCCACTCTCTTCTCATTCTCAAATATCTCCTTGGGGACACCTACAGTCAGCTGTTTATAAGGAATTCCTGTAAGAGTGGCAGATAAGACAGCATTAGCTGCACCAAAGATTAATAAATTGATATTAATAGCACTATTCAGTGCTGCACAGACACATGCAGACATGTCACACTTACCAGTTCCCTCTCCTAATGGAAGAAGAAGCAGAATGATCTTTTCTGGCAGTGTAGTTTACATTTCCTTAAATTATACCACCTTGCTAGAGATCCTTGTTCTCTCAGGAACTGACAGGTAAGCCCAATCAACCACACAAGCAGTAACAAGTGTTTGGTGAAGTTCATACCCATCTGAATTTATACAGTTCTAACTGCGTAACTGTCATTCTGACTTACACTTGACATGGCGTTCTGGTGATAACACATTCTACCTGGCATAAGAAGAGTTTAAATCTCTCTCTAGTCATTATTGTGAAAAAATAAGCAAATGAGTTTGTTCAGCTGAACTGCATTTTAAGCACGTTTTTAATGTTTATCAAATTACAGTTGTCTCTGGTAACTATCAATGAACATAAGTTACATACTACAAAGCACATTGAAAGGCACAACTACATGTATAATGTACTCTTAAGAGTTTGCACAGAAACAAAAACAGTGAATTCAGGAGCAGTGGAAGAATAATTACACTTCTCTTCAATGTTTCCTCCTTGCCTTAACTTGTTCAAAGCTCTTCTAAGCAACACCAGGAAAATGCTGAGACTGCAATCTATTAGTTTTAGCTTAAGGTTTCAAATTACAAACATCTTTGCAATTGTTCACATACAATTTGTGGACTTCCAGTACGACATCTGACAGTAAAAACTTCAATGATCAAATTAAGCGTTTAAATACATTATTTATAAATACACAGACTCAAGCAGAATACTTACATATCAAACTACTGCTTTAATTACACTAAATAGCATGCAGTCCAGCACACAGGCCCACTTCTGCACCAGTTTTCATGGATGCCTATCTAGAATTTAAACCTGGATTGTGACATTTGTGCATGAGAGACTTGCACCGCATAGATATTAACGAAATATAACTTGAGCAGCCTAAGCAGTCACAAATATTAAAGATCAAGCAGCAAAATAAAAAAAAAAGGGCGAGAGGAAGGGGGTTGGAGGCTTGTTTTAAATTACAGATCTGCTTTTGATTTTGCCACTAAAACTACATATTCTGCTACAAACATTGTAGCAAAGTAGTAATGTGTAGCAGGTTTTAGGAAGGCTTCCTTTTCACTTTTTTTTCCCTGTTTGTTTTTTTAAGATAGAAACAACCAACACAAAGCCAAACCATACTACACTAGAAGAACTTTGAGGAACTGAGTTATTTTGATATTTTAAAATCTAAATCTGAAATAAAACTAGGACTATAAGGTGTTTAAAGTTGAACATCTAAAAATGTTTAACAACTTTCAAGATACTATCAATCTATAATTTTCTGAAAATACAGAGTTGCTAAGAACTGGTACTTAAATATCTTTATGTACTTGTCAGTCTTCTAATTCATTTAAAAAAATATGATTGAACATATCCAACAAGATGACACAGCTCACCAAAGAAGTGCATTACTTCTGATTATTTTTACCTTTTCTTTTTTTAGCTTTCTCTTCGAAATTGAACTAATAAAATGGTAATAAATAATTTGAAGACAAAAGTGTTTTGATATTTTGTATGTTGGAGAGCATTTAAAATTTTTTAGCTTAGAAGACAAAAAACAAATTCAGAAAAACGTGCTTTAAAGGAACATTAAGTCACAGCAGGAGTGAGAATGCAGATCTAAAACAACAGACCCATAAAGGTAACAGTGCTTTGCAAAGATTTCTTTCATCAGCATACACCACATACAAACATCACTGTGCAAACTGTGCAACTCAGGGCACCCCTATCACAGCAGCACTAACACTTGAAACCCACAGTAACTGTTGCTGTTATTCGTACGCATTACCCTTGTCATTTGAAAAGAACTTTCTCTTCATCTCTTCTCCTAATTACTACACAATAAAGTTCTGCTTCTGATTTTCACTAAATCAATTCAGTGGAAATAAGCTCTGTTGTCTTTTAGAAGCAGAAATGAAACCTAGAAGATTTAAATTTGTTAGAGTAACAGAGACCAATCATAATTTCAAAGGAAGTAGCTCTAGGATAGAAGGCAAATAGCCTTCCAAGAAGCACTGAGAAAATAAGAACTGGAGCGCTACCTTCCCCTTCTGCTTCTCTAAGTTTTTGCAGCACACAAATGCAGAGAAAGGAAGGAATTATATAGTATAAAAGGAATAGAAGGATGACCGCAAATTCAAAGGCACACAGACACTTCGCTAAAGCTTATGTACTTCTAAGGAAAAAAAAAAAAATGTAATTTTTTTTTTCTTTTTTTTAATCTCCTAAGGCTCAAATGACAGTATATGCTTCTGGTTTCTTTTTGCTCTCGTTTTTGTGTGGGGTACCAGCGTAAATGGCTAGGAGCAACAGGACAAGAACGTGCACTAGCTATATGCCAAATGTGTTTCCTCATTTCTTTCTTTCACATTGGTTATCTCTTGCATGCAATAAAAACAGGTCACACTTCTTCAAATAGAAAGTATTTGTGCACCTTATTTAGCAAGCAGAATGATCAGAGACCAATACTGAGCATTATGTCCTCCTCCAATGCTTTGGGATATCAAATCCAAGACAAACATTCAACAAGTCTCATCTGCCTCTCACCTTCTTTTCTCCTCTGTCCCGCTACCAAATTTCTAGCAAACAGCAAATACAGAAGCAAATGAATACAGAACCAAAGAGACATCGGTTTGCCAGCCTTTAGCTAGAGCAGGTACAGGACATGTTTCAAGCAGACTATACTGAGCTATCACATCATTCAACACCACAACGAAGCAGACGTCTACAGCTGCAAAGCAAAGACCTACGTTAAAACTTCAGGACAGGCTATTATAAATATTATTTTTGAATAACAGCTATACTATGAGCACAGATTTGGCTTATTAAACTCAGCAGTTTTATGGAAGTCATTAGTTTTGAAAGGTTGAAATCTAGAATCGTATACTTAGGATCTTGATTTAGATTTTATTTCAAGAAAGAACATCTGCAATCCTTCTCATGTGTTTAAAACTTCATTTGAATGTGAAGCTTCCAAGTTGCCTTTCTAAGCCTCCACATCCAATCATTTCTTTAAGAACTGCATTGAGTATGTTTTAGTAACTAACTTACTGCTTTATCACATGAAGATTTTCCAAAAACAGACTGCTACGCACATACCTTGAGAACCTTTTTGAGTCACATGAAGATTTTGAATGTACTGTTCATTTTGTAGGGAATACACCACCTCTTTTTTGATACAAAGACTCAACAGCACAAGGATACTGCCACTACCAAAAGTGGCAGAATCATTAAATTTCACAGGCCTAAGAGTCTTAGTATGAATGTACAAACATTAGGATTTAGAAAACTAATAAAAAGCCACTCTTTCTCATCCCCCCTAACATAATCTCAACTGTATAATGAGGATATATCTAAAGTAGAGTCTCAAACTTAAAGTAAACAAAATAAGTAGGTAGTCTACATGTCCAAGCTTCAGAAAGCAAACAAAAATAACTAGCATCACAAAAGTGATGATCTCCATTTAACTTTTATTTACAAACATGGTGTTTAAAGAAGATCATAAGCTAAAACTAGTAAGAAACCTTAGAATATTGTATGTAGAGAAATAGAGAAAAATACACATTTTTATCTCCCTAACCTGATTTCAGGAAGTAGTCCGTAGCAAAGTATTACCAACAACAGACTTGCACAAAAAAGAAGTTTTGACTACATACCATATGCTCGGGGATGGGATAAAAGGATATGTAACCTGCCTGATTTAAAAGTTACTCTAATACCAGATTTAAACAAACCATCTCACCTGTTCTGAAGATGAGGACATATTCCGAAGAACAGCAATATGATGTTGGGAGGAAAAAAAAAAAAAAAAAAAAGAATGGTACAGAATGTCAAACAAACACCTGATCCCTCTTCTTACACAAGCAAGGGGATATAAAAAGCCCCAAGGAAATTAATGGAGAATGTCTACATTTAGAATGTACAGCTTACCAAGAGAATTAATTGACAATAAACTGTTATGGGTTTAAAAGTTCTGCTATATAGGAAAATAAAAACCAAAAAACAAAAAAACACCCAGGACTTTCTAAGAAAGAAGAATCAAAAATAAAATTACATTAAAAATCCCAAGATAGAGATGGGTGAAAGTCACAGAGTCACAGAGCTGTAAGACAAATGAATCTGAAAGCACAGATTCATTCATCATACAAGAAAGAAATCTGACAGTCGGTCACCCTTCACAGGGCTTCGGGAAGTTTTGCATCTGTTTCTCAAGCACCTGGTGCTAGCAACAATTTTAGACGCATTACAGAAATACTTTTTTATTCCTGTATGAAAATGCCTATGTTTCTAAGGAACAAAGAATGCAAATTAGCGGTAAGAAAAGTATTCGTCTCCCAAGTTTACTTTTCAACTGATTCCAAATCTCTTCATGCCCCAAGCAGCTGTTGTTCTTGCACATAACATATCCTGGATTAAGCAAAAGCTAATCTGAAAGAATGGAAGTAACAACCGCAGTGTTAACAAGAATTACTGCGACATTTTTTCAGAAAACTGACTGTTCCTTGTATTACAATGATTTTACCAAGTGTCATTGATAATGTCTGAAAGAACAAAATGTAGTTATTTTCTATGCTGTTAAGTTTTGATTCAAGAGCACTTAAAAAGTATACATAGGCAATAGTACTGACAGGAATTTTTCAGTCAACGGCTGTTTTATCCTTGATTTGTCCTCTACTGAGTGACAAATCTCATGTTACCAAAATTAACTATGAGGACAGCTTAATTATCAACCAAAATACTTCTCCAACTTCATTCTCAGCATCAACTAACTGCATCGCAGGAATTCTATTCGTCCTTAAATAAGGCCTTCCACATGAGAGATGTGAAGAGACAGCACTGAATGCTTGAACACATGACACTTATCAGAATTCTCTGTCTTTGTGGAAAAAAGTCTGAAAAGTGATTCATAAAAGCAGGAAAACACACACATGTGAGAAAGAGTGAGACAAGCATGCTCACTTCAGTAAAACTAAAGAGATCTTTCAGATTCATGATCAAATTTGTGGTCAAAGTCAGCTACAAAGATTGATTCCAAACTCAAACAACAAGAAGGGCACTTACCTGGGACATTTGAGAAAGAACCTTGAACCTAGCTTTCTACATCCCAGGTTTACACCACCAAAAGAGTCAATTTGCCATATCAAGACAGACAGATGTCCCATTCAGTACTTAATACGGAAAAAAAAATTTGGAGCATCACAAATCCGTCAGTCAGAGCAAAGAAATTCAGGTTTCACCATGCAAGTGTGGTAAAAAGCCATGCAATACCAATTATAAGGAGCCCTTGGACTAAAGAAACTCGTCGTCTCATCACATTTCTTTGGAAGCTCCAAATCACTGGGTCACCGATTTGCAAGGACCCCAGAACGCACCAGCCGCTGTTAGTACTGCCACAAATTCCATGCAACAAAAGCTTCTCAAGAGTTATGTAGTCTAATCTTACGTCCTGTGTTTTCATAACCAGACACTTCAATCCACAAACAGCACTACTTTTCTAATACTCTAAGATATCTAATGCAGTTACCTACTGTGCATATTTGGAAGAACTGAACATCACGCGTACAGTGTCTAACTTTCCACATTAATCTGTCGCAGACTGAGAAGATCCTAGATCTGCACTGCAGCTGGGTCTCTAAATTCCTTCAGGAAGGCAGGACCCATGCAGGCAAAAATACCATTAAACCAGTTTTATATATTCTCCAGTCCTCTAGCTCTCAGGCTATACACTGCATAGGGAAAAAAACAAAATCAGTTCTGATTTTCATACACCAGGCTCAGATCATAAACTGGAACCAAGGACACCCCTCCACTCCCCCCTCCTTTTTTTTTCTCTTCTGAAAATACCTGAACCTGTCCATTAACTGCCCATAAACGTAATTAGTGTAAACATACCAACAAGCCCTACAAGTGAAGATGCAGATCAAAAGTTTTTCAAGGCAGTACAACATATGTTTCCTGAACAAGAAATTTTTTAAGACGGGATAGTTGCATCTACACATAGTCATGCTTGCAGAGCCTCTCTTTGTGAGGGCTCTATTTTCCCCTGCATGCACACAGAGTTGCACAACCACACCCCTTGGGGAACTCAGGCTTTTTATTAAGAAAAGTATTCATAATAAACACAAACACCTTTTGCACAACCCCTTTTAAACCAGCATAAAATTGTACTACATCTGACTCAATCATGCTACTGACATGATTTAAGAGCATTCTTTTTAAGTCACTTCTGTACTAACGCATATCTGAAAGAAAAATTCAATCTATCTTCATGGCTTAAAACAAAAGATTACTTATGATAGTTTAATCAATTTACCTGGCTTTAGAGCTGCCTGAGTCGCAAGCATCCGGTGAGTTCTAAACATTCGCAATCGTGGCATCTTTGCAGGATGCACCTTAGGTGGTAAGACACTGCCGAAAACAGGAGCGGAGCACCCACTGACAGCAATGCGCAGAAGGCTCGCCATTTTGCCCAGACCTTACAGCAGACTCCTTGCCACTTATGGAATTCGGGCTGCACACATAAAAACAAAACAAGAATTATTTATGATACAAGACAGAAGGCATGTAAACTTCTCAGTTTAAGTCCTGTCACCTGCCAGTAGCCACGAGATGATCATTTCTCCCCACCTTTTCTTTGTAGCTAGAACTTTCTTTTTAACTGAGTAAAGCAACTATCAAACTAAAGTAACAAGACCATAGCAGGGCTGACATCACAAAGAGTTGACCTAGAAATCGTATTTCTGTGCTCAAATACCGCATTCTCCTCACACCGTCCCTGTAAACCAGCATCTTTGACACATGAAAACTTCCTGCGCCGACAGAGCCAAACAATTCAAACCCCTGCCAGAGTCCCCATAAGAGTTACCCTCTGCGGGACAGCATCTCACGGGCGCTCCGGACACATTCCAGAGCAGGCACCCGCGCTGGGACAAGTGGGGCAGCGGGCAGGGGCGCCCTCGCGAGCAGGCGGGTACTGGCTG